ATATGAGTAGCAAATAGATAACACACTGCAGAAAACCTGAAGAATTCTGGTTATACACCTTTGTTAGGTCAGCACTATCCTACAAGTGATGAAAACAAACAAGAATCTTGCCCCTTAAGCAACTTGTAAAGTTGGAAAGTACTTCTAACTGGTTGAGAAGTAACTGGGATAAGTGCAGTATTAGGTATTATAAGATGATTTCCATGAGAGAGTTAAAAAGAAAGAGATGGAGGAAGGCATGCCATTTTTTGCTAAAAGCAAACTTCTGGAAAGGACTTCCATTACTTCGTGTGGCTACACATTGCTGTTTCACAACCATTTCTTTCACCTTTAGAATTATTGCCTCTGGACTAGGCTACAGTAATCAGTCTTTCTAGTGGTGAATGCCTCATTTAGAAACATTGTATTGCTGAAAAACCATTAATTTAACCATATTTACTGAAAGATGCCATCATAGGCTCTGCAGTCTATCATTTTGAGAATGAGAACAAAATGAACAAATTCATTCTAAGTAATGTCAATGATATGAAACATGATGACATGATGGTGCTGTGGGTAACTGAACCATTTTATTTTGCATGGTTATGAAAAGCTGCACAGAAAATACGATATTTGATCTAAGAAGAAATTGCATGACAAGAACCAGTCAGTTTGGAAAGATCTGGTAGCAAAACATTCTAGGAAGCACACACAACAGTGAGAGTCAAAATGGAGGAAAACATGTTGGAACATAAAAGGAGAGAGGAGATTCCCATGAAAAGACTTCTGAAAAAGATCTAGAAGACAGGAATAGGAGCTGACTAGGACTTTGAGTGGCATTTTCTAAGTGCAAGGGGATAACACTGGGTATAAGAGGAGTTATGTGTCCTGATTTATATTTTTAAAATAATTCTTCAGGGGCTGTATGAATGGCCAACAGGTGTCAAGGATACAAACCAGAAAAACAGGTGAGCAGTTAATGCAGTAGACCAGGCAAAAGGTGATGGCCAAACAGGAATGATGATTTCAAAGCAGATGGAGAGAAATGTATGAATAAATTCTGAAGGTAGACCTCACAAGCACTGGTGATTATTGGTGTTATGAGTTGTGTCTAGATGTTCTCCAAAGCTTCATGGAGTCAGAGGTGGGCAGTTTCAAAGGTGGCTGTGTTAGGGTGTGTGATGCTGGGATTAAGGGTACCACACCCTAGGTGTGGGTGGCACCACCCAAAAGGCACAAAGCCTGGATGCAATATAAAGGGACAGAATGAAACTACTTCTGCTTCTGCTGCTTGCTGCTTGCCCTGCCATCCTATGAACCCTTTCTCCTCCATAATGCCCTTCTTAGGTGCCACCCTGCCTTGGAGACAGCTAGTTATGGACTGAAACCTCTACAAACTGAGCTGAATAAACCTTTCCTCCTTTAACTTTGGGTAGGGGTATTTTTTCTGAGCAATGAGAAGAGTAACTGAGACAATTAGATGTGCAAGTGTAAGAAGATAGGAATTAAGTACAATGCCCACATTTCAGGAAAGAAAAATACATTATATTGCCATTTGCCAATATACTACTAAGAGAGGAAAACCCAATTGGGGAGAAAAATAAAGATTAATATTTAAACATAGATTGGTATACAGAGACAATGAAGGAACAATATTACATACATGAGTCTAAACTAGAATAATGTGTTTGGCCTGCAGTGAGTGTGTATTAAACGGCACTGTTGAACTGTCACACTCTAATATTTCTTCATTATGTGTGCTGGTTTATGCATGTCCACTGTGTAGGATGTTTCACAGCTTTCCTTACATCTTTTTACTGCATGACAATGTCTCCCCCAGGCAGTTGTGATGAGTGACTGATAAGTGGAGACTGGGGGAGGGGACAAAATTGCTCCAGGTTGAGAATCACTAGGATACAGGTATAGATTTAAATGAAAAACTAAAGGTGGAATTTGGCACCAGGGATATGGATGATCTCACCAGTGGGAAGGGGGTAAAAAAGAGTAAAGGGCTCAACCCAGGGAACTCCAGAATTGGAAGCTGAACAGAAGAAGAAGAGCCAACCAAGAAGATATTTAGGCAGAAATTAAATGTGATAAGTGTGGAGGGTTGGAATTCTGGAGAAGAAACAGTTGCCAGTGGGAAAGAATTAACATGTGTGATTCATATGATTAAGTAAACAATCACGGAAAAGTAATCACTTCCAGACATGTCTCCAAAGAGAACTTGTGGAAAGAAGTCATGAGATAGGCTCGATGTGAACATTTCTATAATCATCAGTTATTTCCGCAGGACATTTTGTTTGGCAACAGATAGGAGTTGCTAGTTTAAAAGCCCTGCCTCAATAGGATTGCTGTTAGTTGAGGTTTAGTCTCAAGCAGCTGGATACAGGTGAGGTTGATGCTAATCTCCGCCCTGGAATTTGTTCTAGATGAAGGAAGATACTGACCCCCAGCTCCCACCTGCTTGCTTCCTACTAGTGAGCAATAAAGCTACACACGTATACTGATGTCTGAACTGCCACAGAACAAGGCCAATTTGGCAAAAATGACAAAGCATTCTGGAGAGAGACATTGTCATGAGAGTAGAAGAAGTTTGAGTCAGTATATTGATCTCTCTTCTTCAGTGGACCACAATGCCTCCCTGGACACAGCATCTTTAGTTGCTCATACTGGAAACTGTCTGATCCTGTAAGCAGTGGTTGAGGAGCTGTTCTGTGTGTGTCACAGGGACAAACTGCATTTTCACAATACTGGAGTTCCCATTCTTCTGTCAGGTATGGTTAAACCTTCAGGCTGTCAGAAAGGGGACAGAGAACTTTGTCTCACTTCACCCCAAACCAGAGTAATCTAAATTAAAACAGCACAAAAGCTGTGGAAAGTGGCGACTTCAGCACCCTGAAGTCATCTGGTAGCTGATCCAGATTTGCCATTCCATCATGGATGTTTCCAGGAAGACTAGAGATCACAGAGCAGACAGACAGCAGGTGACTGGGGAAAGCAGGGAGCACACAGACCAGAGCAGTCAACCACAAAGGAAGCCATAAATTTATACGTGCCATGTCGGAGCATAGGGGGCATTTGAATTTTAGTGGGTACAGTTAGATGATGCTTCTTGATTTTAATGTAATTCAAGTAGATATCAGTAAAAAAATAAAAAGCATTCATTACTTCTATAAAAAAAAAAGAAAATTTCATAAAAAATTAGAGAACTAAACTAGTTGTATAAATGAAATTATTTTTGAAACAACAGAATAGATAATTTGGGGAGTTGCTTAAACTTCTCTCTACTTCTATTTATCTTCTATTTTGTTTTCTTTCTCTCTCTCTCTCTCTCTCTCTCTCTATATATATACATACATATGTTGTTTCCCATATAAGAGAAATAATGTGATATTTAAGCTTGTGTGTATTATTTATTTCACTTAACATTATGACAGACTATACTTTAAAAACTTGTCATAATTCATAACCCCATTTATTAATTCATAGTACTAATTTCATTCAATTTTCACCAGCTGCTGATTGGAATGCACATTAATTTTGTCAATCTGATGGGTTAAAAAATGTGCTATTTTTTGTTACCCTAAATTGTAATTCATGTTTACTGGTGAAGCCAAACTTCTTTTTAAATACTTGCAGATTACTTGAATTTTCTTTTCTGAATATCATCCATTTTTTTGGCTTTATTTTGGGTTAGATTCTCGGTCTATTTCATACTCATGTATTAAAGCTTTCTATTAGAGACATTAATCTATATTTTAAAATATTATGCTATTTAAATATGGGTATATTTCTGCAAAATATTTCACATATCCTCATAAATCATTGATGTTTGCTTGGCACCTGCTCCAGAGAAACGGAAAACTTAGACCTCTCCTTTGCGATAATTTGGGAATCCAACCACTAAGAAAGATTGGCGTTCCTTGTAGTATAACAGATGGGACTTCTACATTATAAAAATATAGGTTATTAGTAGAATTCACTTTTTCAGAAAAGTAACAACCTGGTAGCTTTAGGAAAATGGATGTAACTTATTCCTTTGCTTTGAAAGACACTGGGTCTTTCTATGTTGTTATATTTATATTGAGTTTTTTCATTTAAAATCAATTTCCCAAACAAAATGTGCTCCCTTGGGTAATACTATTTGTTAAAGGGAAAAAGGTCTGTGGCCAGATACACTTGGAAACTACTTTTATATATTTATAAAAATGTTTTATTGAAGGATTCTACAAATATTTTTAAATATTAATGCCCATATGATTCTTTTAGTGAAACTTGAATGTTTAGAATTCCTGAAATTACTGGAATAGTGCTCTTTGAGATTGCTTTTTCAAAAAAGACCATGAGAGCTAGCATTCCATGAAATATTTTCTTTAATAAATACTGGCACCAGGAAATACCTTCACACTTTTTGGAAATGACTGACTTTCCTTGTGTTTGCCTTAGTACTGCCATCTCCTCACAGCAAATCCTTCAGAGACAGCAGTAACATTCTATGAAGTTACTACTGGAAATTTTTTGAAATGATTCATAAATTCAAAGCAAAGTTGGAGTTAGGTGGCACAATTTAAATATAAATGTAGTTAGGCACAGAGTAAAATAAAAAATCATGCTCTGTGTGTGTGTGTGTGCGCACGCGTGCGTGCGTGCGTTTGGATGCTCTATTTCCAGGAAGATTAAAAATAGGTCCACATTTAACTAAATAATATATGAGATGATATATGTGAAAAATTGAAACAACTTCAGAAAAGCCTTTACAAAATAAGTAGAGTTAAAAGAGAATAATATAATATTTTACAATTTAGTATCACATTGGTTCACACGTATGATAGATCTTAGCTTCATTTAAAACTTTCTTGTAAGCCTTTCATTTTTCTAAATTTATTTGAACTGATAAAAGACCAATACAGTTGAGGGAATTAACATAAATCACCTATATTCACATGACTTGCCCATTGTCCCTTTAATTTGTGGTTACTATTGACAAAAATCTAGGCAAATGATGGATAATAACTCACTTCTGGCTTTCTAAACTGGTCATTCTACCCACAGTTTTCAGTAATTACTGCTTCCTTCACTGTTGAGTACATAGAAACATTTCTTCTAAAAAAGCAGGATTATGCATTGCCTATTAAAATTACAGCCAGCATCTCAGAAACCGAAGTAAATACTTTCACAAATAGCATTCCCAATGAATAATGCTGAAATCAGACTTTTTTTTTTTCATCTCAAGTGCCGCAAGTGGCTGGCACCTTTCCCATTGGCCACTTTGTAAGTGCGATTATGACAACGTGACGGTGACTCACAGGTGCCAAATTATGACGAGCAGAGCAAATCTGTGTTCTAAATATGATAAGGTGAGAGCAGCAGAACTCTGGGCCCCAGGTGATTTCCAGGAAGACACCTCTGTTAGTGGGTTCACTATCTATACCATGCAGCCGCCAACTCTAATAACCTGGCTGGGAGAGAAGCACATCTAAAAATGTAAATGGATGAAAAACTAAAACTAGGTTGCATAGTAACGTCTTAAGCTGATTTGAGAGATGTATGTTTGAAAAGCATAAGCTTCAGCTTTGGAAAATGCCTTTTGTTGCACTCAACACATATTGGGTTAGAACTAAGAAAGATACAGAGAAATTCTGAATGCCTTTAAAAATTCCTTCTCCAAACCAGACACCTTATAAACAATGTAATAGCGAGTGAAATAACAGCTTGTTTCTTGTTTTAATCATAATATTTGGAAACTTATTTTTATTGTACATATGCTCCATAGATTAGGGGTTATAGTTAAAGATGTATGGAGCAGAAAATATTGATTTGGAACATGCATCTTAAAAAGAACAGCTTTACATTCGTAGAAACTACTTCTCAGTCTTGTAGTGCAGCACTTAGGAATGATAGAATCACAAATTATGCAAGACTGTTTTTACTGGTTGCACCTACATTTATACATATTTGATTCATACATTCTGACTTCCACCAAGTATGATTGTCAGTTTAACTTATGTAAACTCACTTATGGTGTGAATTTACACATAAATTCAATCTTTTTCCTGTCAAATCCAGAAAAGGCTTTTATTAGAAATAATATAATGTAGATGAATATTAGAGTAATTTTACCTGAACGATGAGAAAATTAAGTGTATTTTTTGTGTCAAGCTATGAGTCTAAATACATTGTTCAAAATCAAATTTGTAAATAAGAAAAAATTTGTCAATGTTTACTTAGATGTATCTATGTACTTCAACCAACAGTGGTATTTTTGAAAATTATATACTATGAAGAAAAGAGTTTTAACATAGATAGCTTCCTAATTACTTTTCAAGAAATTTTCCTTTTCATGTTTTATTGCAAGTTATAGATGAATTTCAGAGTTATTTACAAATAGTAAGCTCTCTGTGAGAAGGAACCTTACTTGTTTTCCATTGTACTCCAAGAAACTAGTACAGAGCCAAAAACACGGTAGATATTTTAAAACTATTTTAAATGAACAAACACAAAAGAAATTAAAATTAATTTTTAAATGAAACATTTAAAATACTTCATTAACTATCCAAGTCCAGCAATCAATATAAAATACAATTTATATAAAATATCTACATTAACTCAGATATTTTTAAAAGTTGGTGTTTTTTGAAGAAATTGCTCAAAATATTTATCACTTTTTGCCCCTTTTTATGGGTGACATGAAGAGAAAAATAGACCATTATCATGTAGAAATCACATGGCACAGCAACTTCAAAAGTACTTTAACATAATGCTACTTATTTTCAGAAATTCTATGACACAGCATGTCCTCCTCCCAGCCAATGTGGCATCCCTAGCAATGCAGGGCTATTTCATTCCCACCTTGTGATGTTTAATGAAGCACTGAGCTGCACACACTTTACCTATTTCTGACAAAATGCTTTTATTCTCTCTGAGAACCTTCTATACCCTACACACACCATAAATTTTGTACAGATATAGTCTCATTGACTTAGGTGCCATCATATTACTCCCATTTTACGGGTATGGAAATTTAGGCTCAAATAGGTTAATAACTTAACCAAGGTTATAGATCAAGGAAGAGGTAAAATAGGAAATTTAATGAACAATTGGGTCATAATAATTTTCTATATTCATTGCATGTATATGCAATGTTCACTAAAGTATTATACATATGATATATAAATAAAGATGTAGTTATATATATGTATAGATGTACATAGATATCTCACAGGACTGACAAGATTTTTTCAGTAGTCAGTTGGAAACAAAGAAAATGGTATTGGAATGGTATTGAAATTGTTCTTCTGGTGGCCCCCTTACATGAGTGACTCAGAGCTTTCCTAGGACCTCAGAGTTCAGCAGACGAGTCAGATACATTTGATTCGATTCACCATGATGAGCTCACATAGGTAGGAGAAGTAAGCTAATAAAGATGAAGAAATAAGGATTGTTTAAAGTATCAAAAATGTAATATTAAATTTGAATTAATACTTTAATAAATATACACACATATATGTGGAAATCTATATATTCCTTGACTCACAATGTCCTTCTAAACCTACCATATGTTGACAATGTCATACATCAAAAATGCATTTAACATGGCCAACCTGCTGAATACCCTCACTTAGCACTGAAGTGCACAATAGAGTGCCACTTGTTTTCCTCCATGACCACCTGGCTGAAGGGGAGCTGTGCATTGCTGCCACTGCCCAGTTTTATGTGAGAGGGTCACACTGCACACTGTTGGCCCTGCCAAAGGACCAAAGTTCACAATGAGAAGTGCAGTGTGTACTGAATTTGCATTCTTTTACACACTCATGAAATTGAATAAATGTACTTTAAACCTTCTGGAATTGGAGGCTGCTGTACAGATATATGTACACTCTTCTACATGATTTCACAACCAGGGCTTCTCAGAGAACATGGTAGATCATTTAAAAACACAATCTCTGTGTGATAGGGGTCTTGTAAAATGATGAGAGTAAATTTCCCTTTGGTTTGAAGATTTATGGATGTTGATAATTTTTTCAAATAGAGAATTATTGAGAAATCATAAAATTCAAAATCATGTTGCTTTATATCTACTTCACACAATTATTTTTGAAAAATTACAAGGAACAATTTTATTTAAGTATATTGAAATCAAAGACCATTGGAGAAAAAGTTTACCATCTAAATATAAAATAATATAAGCCGTGTAACATTTATACCTCATGATATCTTTTAGCTGGATGATACTATGATTGTCATTGTTCATATGAGTAAACCAAGGCAAAAAGAAGTTATTGAACTTGTCTCTTTAACTTAGTAGAAGACTTCATAATTCCTGTATTCTGGATAACACTTAAAATACAATATTGAATAACTGATAAAATTAAGTAAGGAAAAGTAAAATATTAATGGGTGAACAAAAGTCTTACAATTAACTCTTTTTTTACAAATAACTTACCAAAATATCCAATCACAAAATGTGACCCCAAATAGGCTTAGTTCTAAAGACAAACAAATACGTAAAAGCAATTAGATAAATCTCTAGAACTCATAATAAAAGGCTAAACATGTACAATGTAACATTTGAATGTAATATGATATCTTGCATCCTGCCATGTTGAAACAGTTTTCTTTCTGTTTTTTACTATGAGATATTGGTTGTTACTATAATAAATTTAATAATTTAATGTAAAAGAATATCATTGATAAGTGAAAGCACTGATACTTAACGTCCTATGTCGTTATGTCATTTTGGCACAACAGAAAAAGAGAAATGTGTAATTATGGAATTAAGTCTATGCTCTCAAAGCCTCTTTCTTGACTGGATTTATAGCACGGTTACTTTGCAAGTAGATAAAGGGCTCTCTCTCTCTCTCTCTCTCACTCTCTCCTTTCCTCTTACTCTGTTTCTCTATAAAAGATACATACTTTAGTGTACCTTAAATTGATCTAAAGAGAAGGCCTGAAACATCAAAAACTTTGTAAGCCATTTAATATTAAAAGCCGTTCCTAAGGGAAATCTATGTTATATTTCACTTGTGATTATTATGCTACAAAATCTAATATTAACATCATCACCATAAGCAAATGTCCGGAAAAGGACACTACTATACTGTGTAAGGAGAACAATTAAGAAATGCGTACAGGAATGGGATCAGAGTATTCTTGAATGCCAGGCTAAGAATTTTCTATTTTATTAAAAGAGCAATAGGAAGCCACTCCAGGTTTTTGAGCTCTATTACATGGCCAATGTCATGTGTTAGAAAGAAAAACCTAACTGCAGTGGATGGATACTTTAAAAAGGAGAAAAACTAGTGACTGGGAGATTATTTAGGGAGCCCATTAAGTTTGCTTAGAATAGTACATGTTGTCTATCATGATCAGTTAAAATTAAATGGAAGATGCTTATATGGTTTGAAATGTAATCATTTAAAAATCATGCCTAATGGGTGTCTTCCAATCTCTGTGAATTAAAGGAGATGGTTAAGAAGTAATAGATTTAAAGCATGTTTAGAACAAAAATGTGCCTTAGAGGTGAAAAAAAGTGAGGGAAGGAAAGACAGGGAGAGAGACTGTCAAAATCCTGTGAATACTTGCCTACTGCACTGAAAAATAACCCTCCAGTGAATTGCCTTCAGGTTGCATTTTCAGAAATTATATTCTAGTAGTGGTCAATTTTTCAACCCAAAGGGTGATATTTCTCTCCATAAATTTGATTCCTAGTCAATATTTCTTATACATCACATGATCTAGGTTTTTCACAGTTAAAAATAACCAAGGTTAAAATGTCTCATAAATACACAGCATCATTAAACACTGGCCACATAAGGTGAATGCTAGGTATTCTGCTGTGGAAAATATATGTGTTATAGGCCTGCTTGTCACTCTTTCTTCTTAGACTATTTCGACAAATAAACAGCAAGGGCATTATTTACAGCTCCCACCATCAGAAGCTGCCACACTGATCCCTATCCAAATCAGAGAATGTGCTAGTTATTTCTATAAGAGGGTGAGGCTCCCTTTGCTAATCCCCAAACATGCCGTAATTACGTGGAGTTGACTGAAGGCAGGTAGATGGTAAAGATTTGAATAAGTTTAGGTTCATTCCAAATACATGACTGCCTGTTGATATTAGAGCCCTAAATGTTTAATACACCTGTGCACTCTTCATTCTCCTTATATGACAGTAAAAATTGGCTCAAGCTAGATTCTGGCACATAATGCTACAGCATAGAAATACATTGAAACTGCGTGAAAAATAGATAGAATCTGATTTGCAGAAAATAGGACTCTAACAATGATCCATTCTCCTCTTTTTTATTCATTCTACTCAGGGCAGTTACTCAAACGACTGACCTCAATTTTGGCTTCTGAGCTATAGGTGGCTCCATTTAAGTCACCAATACTTTTTATCCAAGGTCTTTTACATTTAATGCAAAGCACTTAGTTTGTTATTTGTTTTGAACTCAAACTTGTGCCCATTATTCAGCTCATCCTCTTTCCCACCTCCACTCCAAACTAATTTTTCTACACCCTAATACAACAGTCAGTTAGTGGATACATTGATGACTTCTAGAAACTTTGAGTCGCATTAACTTACTTCCTTCTTCTTCTTGTTCTGCACCTAAGTCCAGAGCATCATCTATTCTCAGCCCTTCGTTTGCACATTTCTACTTGAATGACTTCCTCTTCCCTTCCCATTTTCACAGAGGAATTCTACAATGTCTCATAACCTAAACAGCTGCTTGGAGCAAGAGCCTCCCAAAAGATTTTTGGCCTCCTGTTTCCCCCATCTGTTAACCCTGCTGCTGCCACATCTTTACTCTCCCAAAAGCTGTACTTGTATCTAACACAGCTGCTGCTGCTTGTTCTTCTGAGTTGCACTGACAGCATAAAAGTTCCTCTTACCCTACGGCATGGGCACAAATGAATCACTGATTTAAAATATGAATTAAGATTTATGAGTGATCTTCTATTCGAGATCAAAAGAGAAAAAATATAGTAAGGACATATCCTAGTAATTCTACAGGCTTTCTCTCCTTGTTGACTCTACCAGTTAAAAGTGCTTGCCCAATTAAATTTTCTTCTGTTCAGTAGCTATTAGGATTTAGTTCATGACTGTTGCTCGAAGACCTCTTATGTTGGTAGGTGGCATTTTTGAAAATGACTTTTGTGGGGCACCATAGCTGTTAGAGGTTTTGGGTCTAGTCCAAGAAATCAGCTCACAGGGGGAAGTGGGCTTGGCATGGAAGAGTCCGTCTCTTCCTGGTGACTGACTTCACTCTTCATACTTTCTGGCCAACATAAAGTGAAGAGTTTTCCTCAGCCCAGGCCCTTCCACCCTGCTGTTTCTATGTGAGCCACCCGAACTAGAACTGAAACTTCTGGCCTCCTTTAAGCTGCAGTGTTGGGTATTGTCCTTTAGCCACCAGAACAGTAACTTACACACAGCTCTACAGAATACAATATACTGCTTGGAAATGATTATCAGGAATAGAAACTCTCCTACATTTATATTGAGAGAGAAATATTTGTATGGATGGTAGAATATTTTTTATGCATTTACTCTCTCTTGAACCAAGTCCCTATTTAAAGAGGATCAAGGTCTAGTTCGGGGTTCCAGTCCAGTCAATAAATTTATTTATGAGCAGAATGTCAATGCATATTTTTGTATATGCATGACCCACAACTTTTTTCATGAATCATTAATGGCTTCTGAAACCTAAGAGCACTTTAACCATATAGGACTAACCTTTGCAAAGTATATAATCATGGTTAGATATTGTGTTCTAAAACTGATCTTTAGTATCTCATTTACATTACACAATAACAAAGTGTTATTGTTAAGGCTCAAATAAGTCAGGCAATTTGTCCAAAGACATATGAGTAAATTTCCAAGTTAAATGTTAATAGAATTTTTTATGGCTTCAGGCTTCAAGTCTCATGAATGAATTTCTCTATGAAATACTACTTTCCTATGCCAGCAGTAGTATAACTCTTATCCTCAATTATGGAAAACTATATACATTCTTTCCCATTCTCTAATGGTTACTTACAAGTTCTTTTTATTTTAGTTTATATTAGTTTTTATTATATATCCAAAAGTGTAGTCTTCAGATGATTTGGGGATGTAATTTTGTTTATTTTGGAAAGAAAATATTCAGTTTTCTACTCATTAGGCCAAGAAAATTTGAAGTAACATTTAACTCCAACCAGCTACTATGGCAAATTTGAAAGCTACTTTTATCCTGCTTTATTTTGCTGATGGGCATGGAACCAGATTTGAAAACACGTAATTAGAATTCAAAATTAAATGGAAGAAAATCAGATTCCTGCTTATCAAATTTCCTAGAAAGAACATTCAGGAGATACATAGTCACAATAAATGTGAAGCAGAAAAGGGAAAGAAAAATCTTTCCATATGTTATGTTGTTTAGATATTTGGATAAAAGTGTCTTAAATATTTTAGGTTTAAAGAATTCATTATATAAAGTGGAATAGTAAAAAAACTTTAAATGGTATGTTGTTAAGGGGAATTACTTTTAAATTGTTTAAAAATATTTTGAGGACTTATCTGCCAAATTCAGGATGAATTTGCACATTTTTCATCATTTTCTATTAAATTAGTGTATCATGGTTTTTCATGAAATAAAGCATCCTTTATTTTTAAAAGTTCTATATATAGAAAATATGATTAATATTTTAATATACAAGGAGAGAGACGTAGTATCTCTCTAGTACAGATCACATCTGACCAATATGTTAAGAAAAAAATGCAGCCATACATGATTATGTATCAATAAATTCTGGGCTCAAAACTTCTAAAATAGGATTTAATATAGTATCAGTATTTATTTAGTGCTTATTATGTGCTAGTTATAGTGCTGTTCTAAGCAACTTATACATATCTACCAGAATACACATTTGCCTTTGTGGTGTTACTAACTTCATTTTACAGATGCAGTAACTAAGACAAAAAAAATTTAATAAGATTTCCAAAGTCACAGAGATTCAGGTCAGGGTTTAATCCCAGGAAGCCTTTATTTTGAAGCCTGGTGGCTGTCTACTATCACATCATATTTCCATACTTAGAAAATATTTCTTGTAACAGTAAATGCATAAATGAGTGGATTAGTTCATTCATTTTTTTCAAAAGTTTAAAGTAAACTTTTTCCTTTACATAATTTGTAAGAGAAAACAGTTGCTTTGTTAGTAGAATAGCAATTAGATTTGACCAATGAGACAAAAATGAGATTCTGAAGACAGCCTAAGCAATGGCTAATAACACGACTGAAATGAAAGCCAGAAAACAAAACTGCATTTCTACCCCTACCAATTAACTTCATACTTATAATAATTCTATACATAATTTCATTATGAATTCTCTTGCACTTTCCTCTTTTCCTTACATTGTTAAATAACTAGGTTGTAATCAAAAGATATTTTTAAGCATGTGGGTGTTTCTAATTAAGTCGATTAGAAATTCAACAGGATTTTTTATTTTCTATTCTTATTGTCATTTAAATTAAGCAGTTTCATTGACTTTGAAGCAAAAACTTGTCTTTATTGGCCAGGAGACAGCTCCATTGGAATTTCCCAGCGGGTACTTTCTCTTTCAATATTCCAGCAGCTAAATGAATCACTATATTCCTGAACTCATCCCTTCTCCCCTTAAGTCTATAAAAACAATGCCAACTTCCAAAGAGATGGCCGTGAAAGAAACTTCAGAATCTTCTGAGTTGTGGTTCTGCCACTTCACCTTCCCAATCTAGTTAGTGACCAAGTCTCCACTTCTACCTGCTAAACAACTGTAAGCATATCATTTTGCTCCATCCCATAATCTTGATCTTAGCTCCAGTCCCTGTCATTTTCCTTATGTCACTCAAGCAGCCCTTTAACTGGTATACATTTCTTCAGGTTGGCTTCCCTCCAACACTTCTTCAGGCTGAAGCTGTCTATCACCAGAGATCATCTTTCCAAATTATAAATCTGATCATGTCCTGCCCTATTTAAAAAATCTTCAGTGACTTTCCATTTTCACAAGATAAAACTAAAACTGTTTAACATGATGTACAAAGCCATGTGCAATATGCTCCAGACTACCTACTTTTTTCAGTTTTAACCAACTTCTTCCCCTTGAAACTTTCTAATTGCTATCTAAACATTCTGCAGTTTTGCGAAAGCACACTCAACACATCCTCTTATATTTTCCCTGGAATTTTGTCACCCAATTCCTTCCCCCAGATGTCACTTCTGCAACATGTCTGCTCCAAAAGTTTTCTCTAACCTTTCTCATCCACTGCATTTGATCTCCCTCCAGGTTGACGTCAGGTGCTATGCATCCTCATGGCAGGAAAAGATTCCCTTGACATAGGCTTGTGGCTTTGTTTGCTTATCTGTTTTCTCCATTTAATGGAAGGCATTAGGTCCTTTGTCTTTGTGTCCTCAGTGCCTAGCACAGTGCTGCACATACAGTAGGTGATCAATGAGTAAATAACTAATGAAAGTCAATATTATAATGAAAATTAAAGTAACAGATGTTCTTTTCATTTGCTATGATTCCATAAGACAAAAAAACCTTTATATTGCCTACCCAGTAATATGTTTTTACTACCTTAATTAGTCCAGCTTAAATATAGACCCCTACATAAAACCCCCTAAATGATGGGGATCCAAGAACTTGTGTGGTTTGTGAAATGAATGGCCAATTGTTGGGAGGGTTGTGCACCCAGAAAGGGCATGGAAACTACTTCCCCCATGCTTGATCTATCCAACACTACCATTTGGCTGGTGTGAGTGTAATATTCTATTGGTGGTAAGTAAAGCGGTTTCCTGAGTTCTGTGAGCCATTCTATCAAATTACTGAAATTGAAGAGGGGAGATGGAAACCCTGCCATCTTCATAGCCAGGGAATCAGAAGGATGAGTATCTTGGACTTTCAATGAGCATAAGATGCGGGGGATGTCTTGTGGGACTGAGGCCCTATCCTATGCTGTCTGTGTTAACTCTGAGTACTTGGAGTCAGTTAGTGTCAATGAATTAACTAGGATACCTAGTTGGTGTTTAGAGTTAAAGAATTTTATTTGGGGGTAGAAAAACTCACACATTTAAAGTATATAATAACATTTGTAGTGGGGACTTGGTGCATGTGCATTACACATCTTGATTTTTTTGAGTTGAGAATAAAAACAGTTCAGTATAATTTTGGTTAAATTAAAATTATTGCTCTCAGGAGGTAGGTCAACTATAATAAGCTGACAAAGGAGAATATCATTTTTAATTTCAAGTGAAATTACTGGGATTTCTGATTTCATTTTTTTCCCTTATTCTTTCCTCCTTTAACAGCATTTTCAAAGGATTTTTTCTTGAGCTAGTCTTGCACGGATTTAAATTTTTGTTCCTATGTCACTTTCTTATTGTGACAGAGGGGAATTTGAGGAAAAATTCTTAATCTCATGAAGCCCTGGATTTTTTTTTTTTTTTAGTTACAAACTAAGGTCAACCAAAGTATCTCTGCTTCATAAATTATGAGATCGATATATGATAAAATAAAGCATGAACAGATCTAAATGCATTGCTAGACATAGTAAGGCCAAATTAATGGTCTTATTTTTTGTTACTATTATGATTTTATACAACTTTAACAATGTATTTTAAATTGCCAGTCCTTCAGAATTTATCTCACTGAGCTCTACTTTACTCCTAACTCACACATGGCTGGCAGTGCTCCTGAGCTGCAGCATTACAATCCATGCATTGAGAGACATGGAAGTATTTTAGAGCATCTGGCTCTTCATAACCAGCTGGCCTGACTCATAAACCAGACCTCTTGTTCTCTAAATTTCCAAAGTCAGCATGACACTGATAGGGAATTCAAGGAGAAGACAGTGCTGGCAATGAATAAGCAATAGTTCATGATTCTATAGGGTCACAAGTCATTGTCTTCCTCAAGATGGTAAATTCTTAATTTTTAACCATAACTCTTTTCTGCCTAAATCACCCTACCAAGACTTCCAGAAATGAGTTCTATTCTTATACTAATATAAGAGAATATGATTGGCAATGTCTGCACTTAGAATGAGTTGACTTATTTTGAGGATGTGGACATGCGAATAGTCTGGCTGAAGGCCAGAGTGGGCTAATGATGAGGACTGCCAGCAAGACACATTGTAGGTAGGATCAGATATGACTCTTGATTCTTTGGCTTCCGTATCAAGACCAAATATAAGTACTTAAAAATACTACAGAAAGAGAAGATACGTTGCTATTGCATAAGTCTCGGTACCACTTTTATGGTCTACATCACATTTTCCTTCTATTTAACTATTTTTGTAATTGTTTCAACCTTTCTTCCTGAGTATGACCTCCATTAAAGAATGTTATGTCCAATGCTGTTATGTAAGTGAGGATACATAAAGAATTTTTTGAAAGAAAATAAATTCAATCCATTGATAATTAATTACTGATACAATGTCCTCCCTCAAACTCAAATTTAAAATGGAATATCAAATTCTGATGTGTCCACTAGATACTGTATGTTGCAAAAAGTAAATATGAAAACCAGCTAGATAATAACATTAGGTGAAGTCATTTCAATAACAAAAGAAGATTGCAATAATTTATACTAATATTTAGGTAGGAGAAGTAAAAGTTAAAAGGAAATGATCTGTGGTAGTTATCACTAATATTCAATATTTTATCAGAGTAGGGGGAAAACATCTCTAGAATTCATTTGTAAGTGATAGTAAGCGGCTAAGCCTTCAATATCCTGGAGGAGACAAGCCAAAGTCAGAATGGAATAAAATAGATATGAGAAAGACTCATTCATACGTAACTCAGTGTAGGGAGAAGAGTATGTGTGAAAAACTAGATGGATCAAATACCTGATGTCTTTTTTCTTTTCTTTTGTTTTCTTTTTTTTGTAGTGTTAATTGACTTGGTGTATCTGGAGAAGAAATGGAAGAAGAGTAAAATGTGTGAAAGAATGTAATGAGGTTTATAAAATCCCTGAAGACTAACCAAGTTTATAATATAAATTAGATTAGAAAGTCTACACTCAATGAAGGATTCAATTAGGTGAGATCAATTATAACATCTGTACATTTTCAACAAGTTAAAAAGAGAGCCAAAAGTGTATTACATTGAAAATTAATTTATATTTCATGGCAAGATTCCTGGGGACTGTTTTTATGAATCTATCTAAGTTTCTAATAGACATTATCCGTATAGATATATGGGGCCAAATTATAAGTAATTTGTTCAGCTCATGAGAGTTAGATAAGGGAGCTGGTCAATTGTTTTGCTTGGTTAATCACCTTTTTATGCTTTAATGAAAGGAATTCACGGGAATTACATCGTTTTCATAGGCAGAAAATTGTCTTTTGCTTCACTTCTTATTCTCCATATAAATGATATTCTGCAAAAAAAAATAGTTGGAAGCTTCAGCTACACTTGTAATAACCTAGAACGTATGTTCAGTAATGTTTTAATTGATCCTCTGTCCCAATGAGGCTTTAGTGAGTTGCTCAATATTTACAGTAATTTGTTAGAAAATATTCCATCCACCTCCCAAGAATCAGAAGGACAAGGAGAGGAAGAGAGAGAGAGAGAGAGAGGAGAGAAAAAGAAAGAGAGAAAGAAAGAAAAAAGGGAGAGAAAGAGAAAGAAAAAAAAAGGGAGGAAGGAAAGGAAGTGGTAAGAGAAAGACCAAGACAAATATCAAAATTAATCTTTTAAAACATATCTTTAATTGTTTAATATGTCCTTATGGATAAAATTTAGAGTAGTATTAGGTTAGTTGAAGAATAGGAAATCGGTAGCAAATTAGACAACTAAAATTTATGTACTGATTTTAAGAATAATGTACAGAGGATTTATTAGTCAAAGAGCTGTCTATGAACAGAGAGTAAGGTTATGCACAGCGTTTTGGTAAGGGGGAGACTGAGTGGAAACTGATGACTCAATTACAAAAGAGCATTTTAGCAAGTCCCAAGAATCTAGATGTAAACCAGGAGAAAAAAAAAGGGAAGGAAACATAGTTATAGTCTGATGCTGCTATGAACAAAGGATTTTATGGAATCAGTCTTAGGGTATCAACCTATTGCTGAGTAAATGGAATACCACTTACAATGCAGGAACAAACTATGGTTAAAGTCTATAGCTAGCTTCAAGAATTGCCCTAAGGAGAATTTCAGGAAATTAGAGTTTACAGTTTACTATGTAAATTTTCAAAAGTTATCCACCTCCAATACTTCACTTGTGAAAGTGTGTGCAACTTGTGTTGAGGGCTTACAATGACAAACTAGGTTCTAAGTCTCCAGTGAAGGATGTTATAGATAAGAAAACAATTACATGTAGTATATGATATTTTGTTATTATTTTGTTTTCATTAATGTCAATATTACATTCTATTCTGCTTTCTCTTCTGTAAAGCAAAAATAGGATCAAATGTGTACAGTAGAACTAAGTCTGCAAGTATAGATTAAGTGACCCATGCTTCAAAGACGTACTGGAAGCAAGCTGTTTGCATGTATGCATTTATACTTGTCAATGACTAACTTCAATTGTCTGTTGAGAAAATTTTCACAATTGTGATGCTTTATCACATGTTTGCTTCCATATGCTTTTGAGAATGCCATTAAATATGTTTGGTGAGGATTAAAGGTACAGATTCTGTGATTGCCACTTCCCAAGGGAGTAAGAAAAAAACAAGAACTAAACTAAATCATTTATTTACAACTGTCAACTTAATAATAATTTATGATGTAAGGTGTCAGTATGTCTTTTCATGTTTAAAAAAGATTAAATATTCCACAGTGCATATATTCCCAAAGAAAAAGAATTTTGACCTCATGTCATGAAGGATGACGCAGTCATGTTTGTAATTATTAAATCATTTTGATTTCTCGCCTATTTTGACAATCTTCAAAAAAATTCATGGATAATGAAAGAGTTGTACCCTTAAATTAGAGTGAAAGAAATTAAAAATGAGACAAGTATTTTTTTAAAAAAATTACTCCTTTCATTTTTTCAACCAGGAAATTGAAGTTTTGACTACAAAATATTCCTGCATCTCTCTATGCAGGAAAACAATAGAAACAAATAACCAGAAAAAAATCAATAACCTTAAAAACTTAAGTAAAACATTCCACAAGTAATCGTTATGCCATTAAAGGCAAAAAATATTGAGACCAGATTTGCAACAAACATATTAATTGGATTACATCATCTATGTATAAATATTTCAAAATTTAAAAAAAAACCCTTAACATCAAAATGGTCAAAGCCTTCAAAATTGGACAGTGAAGATGAACAGAAAATATGCACATGATGAAATAAAGCAATAGAATTTAATTAAAAGTAAAGAAACAAGTAACTATTTTTCAAAAAAAGCAAGCTTTTTCTTTCTCTATTTTCTTATTGTTGGGGAAGGTCTGAAATTTTGAGATAAATATACAAAGACATATATGTCTGTACATTACACGGTGGTATTTGTAAAAAACATTTTGAAATTATGTCTCAGAATCTGAAAAACTGTGTAAGCTCACAGCAAATGTTCATTAATTTATCCTGTTATCAAGAAAGTCACTTTTCTTTATTATCGTTTACCAACTTTCCAAACTTGTTTATGCCTAAATATTTTAAATTAATTAAATTCTATCCAACATATATTACTTCCACCTAGTGCAAGATAAAATTTTTCGATGATTGTTTCAATATTACAATTTATTTTTATTTTTATTTATTTATTTATTTATTTATTGGTACCAGGGATTGAACTCAGGACCTTGTGCTTTCGAGGCAAGCAGTAGAATCACTGAGCTAAATCCCCAGCCCAATGTCCTTTTTTAAAAACTTTTTTATTGATTATATTGGTACATTTAAGGTTTACAATATAGTAACATTCATCATTGGAAATTTGCACCTTTACATAATCCATCTTGGTTCTTATTTTTTCCCCATTCCTCTGGCCTTCTTTCAAACTATCTACAAAGACTTTGTTTCCATTTTTTCTTTTTCTCATATTAATTCCATTCCCTTCTTTCTTTTCCCCTACCCCTCCCATTTCCCCTTCCCCTTCTGTGAGATATTCCACTCTCCCATGGATGTAGGATGTAGTAAAAGACATGCATACATGAGGGTAACTATGACTTACAACAATTTTCTATATTTCAAAATATAGTAAATATAAGAGTTTGAAATTTCCCAACACATAGAAATATTTGTTTGAGGAAATTGAAATTCTAATTATCCTGCTTTGATCATTATATATTTTATAGATGTTTCAAATTATCATATTGTATTTCATAAATATGTACAGATATTTTGTGCCAATTGAAATTTAAAATACATGCAATAATATTTATTTGTATCATATAACATAAATATTGTGAGTCACTCAAAAATCATCTTTGACACATTCAACCACTAAAATACCCATAAGTTAAACTAGGATTTTACATTTAACAAATGAATAAAAGATCTAGGATTCTTTAAAAATAAGATTTTTTTTTTTTTATAAAATGGAGTACAACTCAGCCATAAAGAACAAGAAACTAGAGACACTTATAGCTAAGTGCATGCACATAGAGGACATACTCTTAAGTGAAATAAATAGAACACACATGTGTAAATACTCAATAGTTTCTCTGGTGTGAGAAACTAAAAGTGTAAATAAGAATCAAAATGTATAATTGATACTGTGAAATAGGAAGAAAAGGTCTAAAGGAGTAGGGAAAGTGGGAGGGGTAGGGGAAAGGACAAGGGAAAAGAACGAAATATGAGAAAAGGAAAAAAATTAAAACAAGTCTTTGTAAACAGGAAAGGGTGGAGGGGGTAATGGGAGGGCAGGGGAATGGAGAAAAAATAAGAACCAAGATATGTCAGGTAAAGATCCCAATGATGAATGTCACTGTATTATATATCTAAAATGTATCAAAAAACTTAATGAAAGAAAAAAGTACACACAGATTGGTGTGCTTGCATAGTGTGGCTTACTTCGTACTCCTACAGCCACTGCAGTTACTAATCCTCCATGGTTGGTTATACAACCTCCATGGTTGGTTATATAATCCTCCATGGTTGGTTATTTATGGAATAGCCAACACATAGAGGAGTGCTCTGGCTTGGAATCCCAAAGCCCATGGGTGAAAGACTCAGTTTGCAGCTTGGTGCTTTTGGCATTAGTGGACTGTAAGAGGTAGGCTAAGAAGGAAAAATTCCAATCATTGAGGATCTGCCTTAAAAGAGGACATTGAAACCTCAGCCCTTTCCTTTCTCTCTTGCCTCCTGGCTACCATGAGATGAACAATTTCCTTCATCACCTGTTTCCAACATGGTATACTGCTTTGCCACAGACAAAAACAGCCTACAAACCATGGATGCAAACCTTCAAAGGTAGGAGCCAAAATAAACCTTTCTTCTTCTTTTTCAGTTGACCATGTCAGGTATTTGTTTTGCTTTACTAAAGGAAAGCTGAGTAACACAGAGGAATGATAAATAACTGAGCCTTATTTACCAATAAAATTTATATTGATTCTTTGAATTTTCTAGAAAAAGCAAAATTATAAAGACAAATAAAAACATCAGTGATTCCTAGAAGCAAAGCCTAGGTGTGAAAATTAGCTGCAAGTGAAAAGAAGGGGAATTCTTTGGTGAAAATATTCTAAAACTGAGTTCTGTTGATGATTGCAAAAGTTTACTCCAACTTACAAAATGCAAATTTAAAACAAATGACTTTTATAATATGTAAATTATACTTCAATAACCTATTTTAAAACTGAATTCAACTTATATTTACTGTATTTATTGACATATTTAATTCTGTGATTGCATTTGTCACTTTCCTGTCACTGGGAAGAAATACCTCACACAGACCACTTAAAATAGGAAAGCTTTATTTGGCTCACAATTTTCCAAGTGTTCAGTCCATGTTTGGCTGGCTCCAAGGCAGGAAAAGCATAGTGAAGGGCATGTTTAGAGAAAGCTGCTCAACCCATGGTGGCCAGGAAATAGAGACAGAAGGGAAGAGCCAAGATCAAGAATACACCCTTCCAAGATCTGTCCCCAGTGACCTGCTCCTTCTGATGAGTGGGACATTTTTTATTCAAACTGTAACAGTGATATTTTGCATTTTATAATGATCATGCTTTTTTCATTTTTATCAAATCGAGCAAATTATCCTTGGGTGGTTTCACAACATCTTTTTTTGTTCATTTGTTTTTGTTTTTGTTCTGGTACTGAGAATCAAACTCGGGATTGCACTTTCCAGGCAGGCATGGTGCCACTGAGCTACGTCTCTGGCCCCTAACAAGGGCATCTTAATTTATTATCAGTCTAAATTAAGGAGTGAGACAGGGTCTCACTATGTAGTTCAACCTAGCCTTGAACTCACTATGTAGCCCAAGCTGGACTTGAACTCACAGCAATCCTCCTGCCTCAGTTCCCAAGTGCTGGGATTATAGGCGTGCACCACCAGGCTTGGCAAGAACTATAAAACTTTCAAATTTCCTTATAAATAACAACATCTTATCAAATATACATCTTAAATGCTGAGCCAGACTATAATCACTTTGTTTTTATTTCCTTCTCCTCTACACAAGAGAAGATACTCTTCTTGTCTTCTGTCAAATTCCTATTGCTTCACAAAATTCAGATTATTCTGTCTTTAAAAATCACTATTCACTTAGAAAAAATGTATTTTTCTAAAGTGTTGTCAAACTCATGACTTCTCCACTTTGGTCACCATACTGAGCTTTCTTTTGTCTGTTCTGGCATTTCTCAGGTTGAATTTTGGAACATACCCTCTTTTATAGCTTTTCTCCAAACACTATGTTGTTCAATGAATGTTCATCCTCTTGAATTTCCTTTTCACTCAGTAGCCACTCACTTGGCAGCCAACATATACTAATTTGCATGTTTATTTTCTTTTTATGTGGATGCCTACATTCTCAAGTAGGATAAATAAGTTGGGTATTCCACTTCATTTCATTCTCTTTTTTTTTTTTTTTTACCATTTTTAGCTTAGTGACTCCACCAACCTATGCTCAAGAATATGTCCTTTGGTAATGTTTATGATAACAATGATGTCTAATGATAGTGATGATGGTAAAATATGTTTATATTTCAGGGATGTTTTATAGTAAAAGAAGAGAGGGTCCATGCATGAAGTATAATTTAAAAATACAATATGACCACCTTCAGATTTCTAACTATCTGAAAAGATTCAAAAGAAACAAAATAGAATTTTGACCCTGATTTACCTCATTCAAAGTTGAAAGAACTAGGAAAAAAGAATACTTGAAATTCATTGCATTTAGCTTAACTATAATGGAGTGGCCCTGAGAAGAAGCTAGTAAGTAGAGTCTTTGTCCGCAAGGTTTAAATGAGAAAGTGGCATCTAATTACTGCACTCAAATATCCTCAATGTTTAGAAATGAAAATATTTCAGGCTATTTAATTTGGACAATGTCTTTATTTTCAATTTGCTTCATGCATATAGGGCCAATAATTATATTTATGTGAAAAAAGTCTTAGTATCCTCTAAAGGAAAACTGTTTTTCAATATTTAAGGTATTTTTTGTATATGAACAGTGGGAAATATTAGTTTGATACTGAGGATTTTTTAACATTGTAAAAAACGGGGAATGCCAATAATTCTAATGTTGAGATCATTAAGATATTAAGGATAGGTTAATCAGACCTCAAAATTATAAGCATATATAATTAACTCAGAGAAAATTACTAATTTGGTAATTATTAGAATATAGCAGAGCAATGACGCCCTCATTCATTCAAAGTAAGAGGTAATAAAGTCAAGGAGTCTACAGCTTAAGTGTTCATGTACAAGTTGCAGTTCCTATTAAAGCTCCTGAATAACTCTCCTATATTGTTCAAGGAGTCTAGGACAATGGCTTGGAAGACTACTTGTTCTTTTATTTTATCTGAGAAAATATTAGGCAACCTTTAATCCTTAGACATAAAACATAACTGACAAGGATCTAAGCAATGGCATCAAAACCAGACTTTCTTGGGCTGGGGATTTAGCTCAGTGCCACAGCACCTACCTGGCAAGCACTGGGTCTGAGTTCAATCCCCAGTACCAAAAAAACCCAGACTTTCTTCTGAACAATAAAGGAATTTTCTTTTTTTTTTTTTTTAAGTTTTTAGAATGAAATTTCTTTTTATGCATTTTACTAATTAAGAAATAAATTTTAAAAACAATAAAAAGTCTAGGAATCAAGCAGAAGTTACAAAATTCACAGGAAATAAGCCTATTGTAGCTTTAGGGTGACATTTTGGTGAGAATTCTGTTTTCACACTAAAATTCTAGTATCCCAGGTAAAATTCCTGCATCAAGATTTTTGAGTCAAACTAAAACAGTTGGTCACCTGATGACTAAAATATCGTAAGCAGGATATGCTAATCTCTAACTTTGAAAACAATAATCCTACCTTTACATGTGAGGAGTAAAACTCTACAAGAGACACACTTTTTCAAACAGCATGTTATAGAGGACTTCTCAAAGGGTAAATGGAATTTCTCCATCCTGGGACTCAGGCATGTGAAATTCTTGATTAATGATTATCGTATTTACCCAATATGTTCGCCAGGTCTGTGGTATGGGCCCAAAGCCAATCACTACTCTTGTCCCTCCAAAAAAGAGCAAGATACAAACTGGAACATGTCACCCATTCTGAGATATAGCTCAGTATCAAATTCTCAACAGAAACATATCATTGGAAATGGCATATTAGTCAAGAATATCTCACTGAAGTCTTAGTTGAAAAGTATTTATTTAGTATTCAGAAGTGTTTCCAGAGTAAAGCCTAAGTGGTACAGAAAATATAAGAAGGCAAATTGCTACTGGGAGAAAGTCTTGGAAATTATGACTATCAATGTTTTCATGATCCTGTGAAAATCATGAAATATGATTCAGAATATTGCATTCTACAGGGACAGAATGTACATCACTTGAAACAGTGGGTAGATAAAGTGAGTTAATTACTATATGGTTATTTTATCTAACAAAAGTGAGTTAATTGTTATATGGTTATCTTATCTAACAATTAGCTCTAAAATGTTAAATAAATAGCATATGATCTAAGTATTTCCTAACTGAATTGATTAGTTTAACCTGGTTTATATTTTGAAGCATGACTAATATGACTTTTCTGACTTTATATCTTATTAAGCTAGTTAAAATAACTTTACTTAACTAAACAGATTTTTCCCAAATAAATTATAAATTAGGAAAAACACAATTCTTAAAATAATCGAGTATGAAATAATAACACATTATTAAAATAGAAGAGTTGGAAGAATCTGACAATGTAAGTGTGTATCAAATGGGAAAACATGTTCTTGTTGAAACTGTAAAAAATTCAATTGATTCTCCAGATATTCTAATAACATTCATATATTCAATTGGACAGATGTTTGGATTCACTGTGTAGACAAAACATCCTAATGATTGCCTGAACTGACTAAATGTATCCAGCTCTCTTTCTGACGACTAGCACTATGTGGGCAGTTTAAATATTAAACAGTTTGTCTAGAAATGTCATGAAAAATAGGAAAATTTTTCTTAGAATTTTCTCTAAAAAATTAATGTATGCTTTCAGTCCTGGTATTTTCAGATGCTTGAAGTGTTACTTGTTTTTTTTTTTTTTCTTATTAAAGGAAAACATGAGACCAATGCAGAACAATTAATTATCCCAAACTGTCTATATAGAGATATAAGCACATCTTGATGTGATTTTATAATATTTAATACAAAAGTATAATCATGGATGATGCATGCCTGTTTTAACTGCTCAAAAGTAATTTTCCCTTTTCAATCTGTGTTGATTACAGACTGAAAGATGTAACCTCTTTATATTTGTTCATAATTTTAAATTTAATGTTCATTATAAAAATCCAAGTGCCGTTTGAAGACCAAGTTTTCATTTCCTGTTTGAAAGAAAGAAGGGGCTCTCAGACACAAATGCATTCTGCTAATCATTGTGATTAGAAGTCACTGCCTGCTGTGCTATGAGTATTAAAAGAGAATTTCTTTTTGGTACCAGGGATCGAACTCGGGTCCTTGCTCTTGCACAGCAGGCAACAAAACCACTGAGCTAAATCTCCAGCTCTTAAAAGAGAACTTCAAGAACCACTATTTTGTAGGTATTTCAGAATATACAATGGGGTGACCACATACACGTGTGCACATGGGCACACACACAGCATATAATATTCTACTTTATACAGTGCTGTAAATATTATCTTTCTGTATTTCTCAGAAGAAAATGTAGTTTCACTTGAAAGTGTGGGAAATATACCCATATACATTAAATTTCAAGATTCTGTTTGTCACTTTATAGAAATTATTTTGGTCATGTAGGAAGAATATCATTCTGCAAAAAAAGCAGAGTTGCCAATCAAAATGCCTATATAAGGACTACAGGTTTAGAATTAGGTAAATGAATGTAATTATGAATTAGTTATTTACTCCACTTCTATTACCCCTTTCCGTAGCCTCGTCTTTCTATCTAGCTTTGTTGTTTCTTTGTAAAATCATTTCTACTAACTAGTTCTTGTGGAATTAGAAAGCTTCTCCTTTATTTCTAAATATATCTTAGAAACAGGAGGCATCACATTTCTACTTTAGCCTAACTGCTTGACACCTATTTTTCCACTTACATCTGATTACAGTTTGCATCTCCCAGGTGGAAAATCAAGACTATATGTTTGAAAATGTACTCATGTTGCTTTAAGAAAAGGAAGAAAATTAGCATCTATTGAAAATCTCCAAATTCTAGGCAGTTTTAAACCATTTATGTATTATTACTGGAGTCATAGAACCTGTTTTATTGATGAATAAATAAAAATTCCGAGGTGAAAAATGTAGGCTTGTTCAATGGCAGATAGAAAGTGTCAGGACTAATAAGCAAATCCAGATTCAGTTTATTTTAAGACCACTGCTCTTCTCATTGTGCCTTATTAATCTTCCTGGGATATAAAAGTAAGAAAATTTGGAATAAAGAAAAACAGCTCAGTAACTTCAGACCAAGATGGAAGATTACTGAAATTCTTGCCCAGCTGAAGGTTTTATGCCTCTATTAAACAAAAATTTGTATTTCCACCTTGCTCATGATTAGCATGAACATAGATAGATCATTTCAGTTTTTTCAAACTTAGCTACACAGCTATAAAATAAAAGAATTAGAAGAGAACTCTTTAGACATAAATTTTCTATAATTACATATATGATACATATATGATCCCATATATGATACAATGCTATTTTATTTTATTCTACCATAATTTGTAATTGTTTTGCAGGACTCCATGTGTTAAATCAACAAATTAAAATATATTACATGCCATATAAATGAAGTTAATTTAATAATTGTCTTTACCTTTACTTATCCTGCAGAAGCAAACAAAAAATGCTACTGGGAATGACTGATAATCTAAGGAAACCATGACTTTTGAGACTTACCAAAAAAACCCCCAATAAATCAATTTCTAATGTTTTCAGTTATTGCTTTTTTTCTTGTGGTCATGAACATTTACTATTTGAATTTTCATTTTCAGATATTTATAATTATGTATTTGAAATTATGTGAGAGCCCTCCTGGTATAAAATATTTATTGTGAAAATATGGTAAATGATAGAAAAATAGCAAAAGTTAAATGAAAACTACTTGACTAGGTTAGGTTTTGTGATAGCTCAATATATTATAAATAATAGAAAAATAAACAAATTTATGTGCTGCAAATGAAAAATTAAGCAACAATAAAACAATGCTATATGACTAAATATTCTTTTAAAACACAAACAAATGAAATAGCAACTTATGTATAATGATTTTTGTTTATCTTTCAAATTGGAGCTTGGAAAAATTTTTTTTAGGAAAACACAAACTTTTAAGTTTTATTATAGGATAAGAATTTCATTCATGTTAGAAAAAAGCAATAAACATGTTTGTGTAATACTACAGATAAAAACCTTAAATATATTATTTCATATTAGCAATAATACCATACATAATTTAAAAACTAAAACGTACTGGGCATTATAGTTTTGAACAAGCATTTATCACAGCATTGATTATTCTAGTCATAATGTATATTATTTATTTCACTATTAATGAATCAAGGTTTATTATTTTCAAATAAAGTATGCTTGTCTTTTTGTATGGCTTGATGGAAAATACGTGAAAGGATTAGTAAATAACTAAGCACCTTAGAGATGATGCTGATAACTGAAGAAAAGCCAGAATTTGAGAGCCAGATGTGTTTTGATCCTTTTTAAAAATAAATCTATAATGAAATAAAGAGGCATCTCTGATCTTACTTTGACTAACTAAGCAGCTGCTAATTAAAGTCATCCAAATAGCATCATATCCAAAATTTAGCATGGGTAGAGAAGCTTCATTTTTCACATCATTACCATCAACATCAATACCAACACCAAATTCGTCATTATCTTCATCAACAGGATTATTATACTTCTAAAACTTGTATAACTCAAGGAATGTAGTGTTAGGAGCAAAAGTAAGTTCACCCAAAGTGTGGAGCAGAAACATAATGTTGAAATACAACTTTAAACAAGACAGCATATGCTATTTACTGCTAGGCGATGGCAACATCTCGTAACATGGAGTAATCTAAGTGGCCATCATTCAGTGGCAACAAAGACAGACTATACTTTCCGAGGTGAAGAGACAGAAATATGAATAGCAGTTGCCCCTGCAAACCACAGCCACAGCTGCTACCCACAAGACATACTACTAGTGAGCTCTTGATACAAACTATTTGATGTTAAATCACAGAGCAGCCAAGATCTTTTCATGTTTTGAATGAAACTCAGTTAAAATTGGCACTGCGTTTAAGACTACTGATTGTAAATTTAACATCAAAATACAAATGTAACTATTTGCAATATGATTTAATAACACCAAATTATCCCAGGTTATAGTAGCTTTTGAGACACTTTAAATTTGTTACAGGCTTGTAAGTGAGAAATAATTAGAATTCATATCTTTATTTATTTGTCAAGTGCCAAGAAAAACCTGTTTTGAATAATCTACTAAAGACAGTATTATCAAGTTCAGCATATAACTCCTGATTTTCTAAAATGTCCTATTCAGTTATTTTACTGACAGTATTTCATTAATTTGTCATTGAGAAAAAACAAACTTATGTTTTATTAGTATTAAGTACTGTTTTAGAAAACATACACATAACTGAAAAAGATCATACATCTGCTGTAACAGATATAACATTCTAGATGTTTAGAAAGGCAATTAAAATACATTATGATTTTATATAAGCTAGAGGATAGGTGAACTGTCCATTGAAATGAAAACAAAATATAATTTGTGTATTTTGATCAAGAGGGTCATTTACAAGGAGATAACATCAAGAAAAAAAACAAAAAAGGAAAGAAAGGAAAATAAAAATTATGAGAAATGGAAAAAATGGAAATAAATTCTTTGTAAATAGGGAAGGGTGGAGGGGGTGAAGGGAGGGCTAGGAATGGGGAAAAAATAAGAACCAAGATGCATCATGTAAAAGTACAAGCTTCCAATGAGAAATGTAATTGTGTTGTATACCTAAAATGTACCAATAAAAGAATTTAAGAAAAAAAATATAGAAAGGAAAGTGGTTATTATGAAAAGCCAAGGGAAAAACATGACAGGCACATAGAAAAGCAAATCTAAAAGCCTCGAGGGAAGAAAGACCTTCCTTTGTGCATTCCTAAAATGTATTTGGAGGCTGCTATGGTTAGAAGATTGAGAGGGAAAGAAAAGAGAACAAAATTAAATTAGAGAGATAGGTTAGGGATCTATACACATTCGGGAAAACAGACTGAGCATCATGCTAAATTTAGTAGGAATCCAGGGAAAGAATTTCAACAGGGAAGCAAGCAACATGATCTGATTCATATATTTTCAAAATGATCCTAATTTCTGACTAGATAATAAAAGTTAAATTAAGCCATGGGACAGAAAGGGCTATTGAAATAGGAAGATAGATTGGGATGGTACTATAAGAGTTCAGGCAGAAAAATGATGTTGCCAAAGGTTGAGATGTGGTTAGTGAGGCTGGAGGAGTGTGGCTGGGTAGAAGATGCTTCCAGTTAGGAACCTCATACTTTGATTTGATTTAAAGTAATGGTAATTAAAAAGGAGCTCAAAGTAATAATTTCTTTGTTACTGATTTGTATTATGATTTGGATGGATTATTTCATTAAGTGTGACAGGGACAAACCAGTTTAGGGGGTTAGAATTGTCCATGTTTGGACATGGTATATTTAAAATGCCTATGAGACATCTAAAGAAACTCAGTTGTAATAGATGAGCATCAGAAGAGAATTCTTGGTTGATGCAATAAAATACAAAATTTTGCACAAATAGGTGATATCTAAGCTTTTTAATAATTGGGTTCAATTCCCATCTCCAAAACGTGGTATAAACACTCAGGTAAGATTACCCAAGAAAAATGTATGGCTTGTAAAAATAAGGGTATAATGGTCATAAGTCATCCCTTGAGGGATTTTAGCCTGTTCAGACTGGACAGGACAGGATACTAATTCAAGCAGCTGTCATGGTCTTAATAATGATGTAGAACCATAGAAGTGTTTTGAGAAGGAGGAAGCAAATGCCTGTGTTGAAACATGTTGGAACATCTATGAAAATAAAATGAGAATACGTGGGACAACACAGAATCCATTGCTGACTCTGATGAGAGATATTTCAGTGGATTTGGTGAGATGGAAATGCATCTGGAGGGGACGGAGGAGTAAAGGACAAAAGAGGAGAAAAGACCAATGTAAAATATACTTTAAGACAAGTGGCAGATAATGAAGGAAAAAACTCTCTGAATAAGGTTCTAGAATGAGGTTTCAGAATATTGGAGAGAGATTTTAAAAGAGGAGGAAAAGATTGGTACAGATTCAAGTAAGTTGGTAGTTGGAGTGAACTATGAGGAATTGCTGTCCCAAATCTTCCATTTCTCCTCTAAGTGTGCCAAGAGGATCCAGTGGAAAATAGGGGATTGGAGGCTTTGTGAAAGATTTTAGAAGAAATGATAAAATCATTCATCTCAAAATATAGGAAAGGCTTATCCTAGAGAAGAAGTATGATTTCAAGGAAGTGTTGAGTAGCCAATTAGTTTAACTATATATAAATTTAAAGGTCAATTGGCCAGTTTATTTTGTGCATGTTTTCTATAAACACACTTAGAGCAATTTTGTTTGAGACATTTTATTTTAAAACTTGTTGCTAATTTCTAAGGTAAAATATAACATATACCACCTGTAAACCGATTGCTCCATTTGCCTCTTTTTCTGACTGAAGAATGGGGTGAAGTTCAGTGAGGGCACCTGTTTTTCTGACTTATTCAGTGATTCAGTGTGTCTGGATCAAAGCACTCAGTAAAAATTTGACCTTTCAAGAAATCAATGTACTGTTTTCCAGAGTTCCAAGTCCATGTATCTATTTTACCACGTATCATCATATACTGAATCTACAGAAATCCTGAACTCAATACATGATAAAGTAAGCCTCTCAAACTTCATTAAACCCACAAAGACCTAGAGTCACCCAAGTTTGAAATGCTCAATCACTTTTGAATTTTTTTTTATATCTCAAAGACTATGCAATAAGCCACGAACTTCACAAATTCTTCCACTTATTTGAGTATTGCATCTTCTGTGAAGTACTTTTAGTCTCTTAGGTCTGTTTTTCATTATTACCTGCTTGAAATATATCAGTGACTTTCTAAGTGGGCATGGCTTCTCTTTTTAAACTATTCCATTTTCTGCATCAGAGTTTCTTAATAGCAGCACTATTGGCATTTGAGAGAAGATCATTTTTTTATTGTGGGGCTGTGTTGTTCATTGTAGGATGCTTAGCAGCACCTCTGGCTTCTACGAACTAGATACTAATGGAATACCTGCTGTTGACAACAAAAAATGCCCCTAGAACATTATAAAATGACCTGAAGCTGGCAAAATTGTTTCTCTTTCAATTGTTTTGAGGGCCACTAATATACACTATGGTAAAATATTCAGGTTCCTTGAAATCTGACACAAATTCACCTCTTCCAGTTTCATTATTATGATATTTACTCTATTTCTCTCATACTTTCTCATCTAATTAAATGGAACATCTATTTCTGGAACATACCATATATTCTATTTTTACCCATTCACTTCTTTGCCCTCAAAGTCCTTCCTTTACTTATTTACATGGAAAACTAACCATTCTTTGAGATCCATCACATTTATAATCATTTCTGTGATTCTTTGCATGATTCCTTTGTGCTCTGCTAGAAATATTACAGCATTTAATACTTTATTCTATATTATTTATATGCTGTTTACTCCTTTACAACAGAATTGCTCCTCATTAATCTTTCTCTCGATCTTAGGTGTAGAGATCAGTCTATGGTGAGCATTCAACAAAAAGGTTCATGAACTCAAATTTATTAATGATTGT